AGGGTCAGTCACCAAGTTGACCCAAGCCGGATCCTCACGAATGGGATACTAGGGGGGCCCACTTAAACTAGCTCATTAATTGCTCACCGGGTGCCATGATTCGTCCTTAGAGGAAAATGGTGGCATGGCTCAGCCCCTCCATTTTTATCGGAAAAACGCTTGAGGGAAGACAATCGTAAAGGCGAACTGATCCTCGACCGGGCCCCTGCTATGGGAGGGGGCTCGAGGAAAGGGAATCACCACCCCCAGGTCATGCTGTGGGCAACAAAAGAAGACCGAGGCCTTCAGAGTCCTCCCGTTCGAAAAAGCCTCCGAATGAGTATTCTACTCCTCCGTAGGCTACTGTTGAGGATCAATACTAGGGTACCCGAAGAGGGGGAGCTAATAGCCATCAATGTTGATTCATCCGAGCAGTCAAGAGCACGACTACAACTCCAACCGACCCCCAGGTGCGCAAGCTCCGCCTCGCCTAGCCTCTGGGGGCGGGCTTCGCCTCGCCTGACCTCTGAGCGTGGGCTCCACCTCGCTCGACACCGAGACCGCGGGCTCCGCCTCGCCTGACCTCTAAGGGCAGGCTCCGCCTAGCTCGGCCTCTAGGGGCGGGCTTCGCCTCACCCGGCATCTAGGAGCGGGCTTCGCCTCGCTCGACCTCTAAGGGCTAGCTCTGCCTTGCTCGACCTTTGAGGGCGGGCTCTGCCTCGCTTGACCTCTGAGGGCTGGCTCCGCCTCGCCCGACACTGAGGCTACGGGCTCTGCCTCGCTCGACCTCTGAGGGCTGGCTCTGCCTCGCCCGACACCAAGGCCGTGGGCTCCGCCTAGCCTAGCCTCTAGGCGGGACTCCGCCTCGACCGACCCCGAGGCCAGGGGATTCGTCTCGCCCGACGAAGACCCATACCGTCGCCAACCACTCTAGGTCCAAGCAAATGGGCCTGGGTCAAAGCTCTGACACCAGGGAGGTGACTGGTATGCCCCAATATAACCCGTGGCCGTGACGGAACATACATGGGAATTCACATCAGAAACAGCGTCGGGTCTACCGGTGCTGTTCTGCCTAACCCTCGTACGAGCACTGACAGGCGCGTCAGTTCACCACAACATCCACTAGGACGAAGTGGAGCGCCACGACTAGGAGATGACGCTACACATGGCGCCAATGACGGATAGAGCCGCGACGTGGAGCTGTCCCTGTTGACGTCTACAGGTTCGGCCGGACCCGCGTGAAGGAAAAGAAGGACCCGACGATCCAGGAGGACATCTTCTCCTTCTCATTCTCCTCTTTTCTCTCCACTGTAACCCGTGCTTTCCCATTGCCTATAAAAGGGAAGGGAAGGCGTCCCATAAGGGGCATCGCAACACATTGCATCGATTCGGACTGGAACCCATTGAACCCCGAACCGATCAGAACAAACAAGCACACAGCCGCGAAGCGACCGAGCTCTCGGCACCCGTTCGCTCCTCTCATCAGAAACTTGGGACCCATCCCTCTCTCGACTATTTGTAACCCCTACTACGAACTTTCAGTGCTAGTAACATGAGCAGCAGCAATGAACTGGACGTAGGGACATTCTGCCCAAACCAGTATAAACCTCGTGTTCTCTTAGCACACCATCCAAACTAGACGCGCAATATTAGAAATTTACTAAGCCGGTGGCAACTTGAAACGCCGACACCCGATGTGCCCCTCTCTCCCCAAGTCGTGTTCCTAGCGTCGCCGTCACCCGGTTTGGGTCGCCCCGTGGTCCTCACGGTGGTGGGTGGTGGCTCGGCGAGCAGCTCGCCGGAGGTCCAAGCTCTCCAAGGATGGCTATCGAGCACGCTTCTTCCTCCCAATCTCTCCTCGTCCACCTCCGCCTTTGTTTGCCTCTGGCGCACTAGCCGTGCGGGCTCGCGCCACTCCTTGCCATCGTCGGTGAGGGCTCAGCTGCAGCGAGAGGGAGCGAGGTGGGCGCGAAGGAGCGAAGCAGACGCGGTGGAGCGAAGCGACCGGAAGGAGGTGACCGTGATGGAGCCCACCGAGCGGACGCGGATGCAGCGAGGTGGACGCGGAGGGAAGGCCGGCGCGGCGGCGCTCCGCCGGCACCGGCATAGGCTGCCCCCGGCTCCACCCATCTGCTTCCTTGGCGAGGTCCTCGGCTGATCCCCTTCTTCGTACAGTTGCACGGCAACGGCGGAGCTGAGGCCGGCGCGGCGGCTCGCCAGCACCGACACGGGCACCAGCAGCCCCGGCCACGACCACCATGGCGGGGCGCGGAAGAGGAGCACAGCAGGGGCACGGCCGGTAACATGCCTATCAAGTGTTTGACAAAATGCACCATAGGGGGTAACCATACCAGATGAAAGATATGGTGATCGTATATAAAGAAAAGCGGCCAAACAAACATGCCATTTCTAATCCAGGCTTAGGTTGGGAGTGCAACCAAACAAGTACATTGGTACTGTACAAGACATGCTAAAGTTGTGTAGGCTTAGTTTTGCTAGGCAGGCTTGACGAGGAAACGAACCAAACGCACCCATAACGGCCTTGTTCGGCTGATCTCAAACCCGGCGTGATCCATTTTTTTTTTATCTGGAACAATGTTTTTCTCACAGATTCCGCCGTGAACAGTAACCTTCAGCCGCTACTGTGTTTTTTTGGGTCAGCCGAACGCCCCCAACATGTCAAACGTGTGCTGTTTTAAAATTTTATTTACAAGTTTGAAGTGCTATTTTCTTCGCCACTTCAAAATAAAAAGGCAAGCACCTAGGCCAGTGAAATTCGACGGACACACACACCACGATCAAGTCGTTGGCCACGACGTCTGACACGGCCACGATGATGGCTCCTCCGTGGTGTCCACGTTGTCAGAGCATGGCTGGGCCCCGCGGCGTTTGTGACGGCGGCTGCCTGCGCCTGCCCTGCGCGAGCGGTGCTCGACTGCCCCCACCATGCGACAAGACCGCCGCTATAGTGGACGGGAGGAGGGAGGGGGGACGTGTGATGGGACAGGGCGAGACTGCGACGGCCCCGCGCGGCAGCGACGTGGGTGCGGTCGTCGCGGTCGCGGGAATCTCCGGCATCGTGCCGCGCCGTGCGTCAGCCGGGGCGCGCGGAGGAGATTCACAGGATTCCGGGGACTCCCCCGGTTTGCCACGCCCCGAGGGAATGGCAGGTGGGACCGACGCCTGCGGGCGACAGACAGCCGACCGACAGGTGGGGTCCAGCAGGTCGAGCCCGCTCCCGCCCTTATCCAATGGCAGAGAGAACTCGGATTCCAGTACGGTACCCCCGCATGCGTGACCGCAGCAATGATAGCCCTATTACTACTACTGTACCACTACTCCAAAAGTCCAGAGGAACTGTTTTGTCATGTCAGCACGTCTGACTGGTTCTTGCAAATTGACCTCGTAGCTTGGATTTATAGAAAACAGAATCGAAATTCGGACGTGTACAGTACAGTACCGTGTAGGAGTTGTACGTACAACGCTGAAACTTTGAATTCAAATTTGTGCGCGGTGAGGCCTATTGAACGCTGGACGAAAAAAATCAAAATACCGAGCCGCGCCGTCGCGCTGTTGCAGATGGCAGGCACGCTTGAGACCAGAAAATTTTAAAATTCGGCCTACATGTCCGCCTGCACGCCTCACCAAGCGGTGCGCTGCTCCTCGTCCTCGGGGCGGTGAGCGACACCGCTTCGTCGGCGCAGCAGTCGAGCAGTCGGGCTTCACTAGCCAGCCAGCCTGCCTGTGGGTTCCGTTTCGACGCCTCACCCGCCTGCAGTCGAAACGGGCTAGGCGGGCGGCCGCGCTGTCTCCAGTATCGGGTACGGGCAGGGGCGGTGGTTTTGCTACGTGAGCTATACCGTACCCGGTAGCAAGCAGCTCAATCACCTCCGTACCCCTGCCTTTAAAGCGCTCACGTCTTTAATGCGGTGTAAAATTAAACGCCACCCAGCCCACGAAAACCTCGCGTACGGACACGGTTGGACGCAAACTCCCGTGACCGTGTGACGCCCAACGTTAGCTCTCGATTGTATTGGACAATTATTGTTCAATCATAGCCAAACTAGACTCAAAAGATTTGTCTCGTAATTTACAATCAAAATGTATAATTAGTTATTTTTATCTAAATTATAATTTTTATATTTTTATATCATATTTAATATTTTATCGCAAACAAAAGATATTGAAAATTCGCCAAAATTTGACGTTGGACGGAGTGGGTAGAGTGGCAAAACATGAAAAAACCTGTACAACAATAAAAAATCTAAACAACCACCATTTGACATCGCAAACAAAAGATATTGAAAATTCGCCAAACCATTTGACGTTGGACGGAGTGGGTAGAGTGGCATTGACATGACGCAACCTGTACAGACAATAAAAAATCCAAACACACATGGACGTAATCGTTCGTACGTACCCATCCCACGAGCCATGATAACTGCTCCAACTTCTGCACAGGCGCACAGCCGCCGTCCGGCCATCCTGTTGCCGAAAAAACTAACTACGCGCAATAAAGTACTAGCGCAGCGAGCACAGGGAGGGAGGCATTTGGGGGCGATACGATACGGGAGCTACGGGCCTACGGCGCGTCTCGGTGGCCCCACCACACCTACGAATTGCACCGGCGAAAAATGGCTCGAAAAGAAAATGATTTCCGGGCTGAATTTATTTAATTTAATTCATTGGCTGCTGTTTTCTCTCTCCTCGGCGTCCTCTTTTATAAGAGTAGAGCCCAGCAGGCGTCGGCCTCCGCCGTTTTTAATACCCCTCGTCGTCGTCCGTCGACACTCCATTCGCCTCCCTCCCCCATCTCTGTCTCGCCGTTCCACCTCTTTCCGCTGATAAGCACGCGGCTTCCTCCATCCATCCACCCGCCGCTTTTCTGCTTTGGAGAGGGAGCTGCATCCCACGCTGCTGGTCTGGTCCTCGAGGTCCCGGTCGCTGTGCCTGTGCTCCTCCACCGGTCGGTCGGCGGTGGACTTGAGGTTTCGTCGACGACGGTTTCGAGAGTGGAGGAAATGTCGACGACGGAGTGTTCGGACCTCGGGGAGGAGTTCTGGCTGCCGGAGGAGTTCCTGGACGACGACTTCTTCTCCGAGGAGGAGAAGGCGGCCGTGGCCGCCAGGAGCGAGAGCGACGAGGAGGACAGCCTGGCGGGGCTCTCGCGCCGCCTCGCGGGCCTCCTCGGCAACGACGGCGAGCGGAAGCCGCCTACCGCTGCCAAGGTTGGTTTTCTTTCTTTGCATGCATGGGATTCTTGGTTCTCTTTCTGATGGTTGTTGTACACGCGTCCCTACCGGAATTTCTGATTGCGCGTTCTTGTGCCGCAGGCGGAGGTGACGGTTGGGTCTCCGCAGTCCACGCTCTGCGGACTGCCCAAGTCGGGGCAGGAGAGCCCCAACGGCGGGGCGTCCAAGGGCACGTCGCCGCCGTCGTCGCCGCTGGAGCAGAAGCCGGCCGACCCCTGGGACCTCCTGTACGAGGCGGCCGGCCAGGTTGCTCGCATGCGCGCCGCCATCAGCATCCCGGTTCCGGCCAACAACGCTTACGCCTTCAACGGCGGCCAAAGCGGTTTCGCGCCGCCGGCGCGCAAGTCTTCGCTACCGCCAATTGCTCCGCCCTCCGCAAAGGTCCCTGCCGGCGGCGCGCACTACCCCCCGTTCGCGCACTTGGTCTCGCAGCGCCAGATGCAGGCTGCACAGGTGCGTGTGTGTCTTCTCGTCAAGATTCTTCGGTTGTATCGTTCCGCTTTGTTCTGTTCCTGTTGTTGCCCTGACGCATCCTTCTCTGTTCGCTTGCCCCCGTTGGTTTTTGCAGTTCCATCTGCTGAAGCAGCAGCAACTGCTCAAGCTGCAGAGGGAGCGCCAGCAGCTTGCCGCCTCCGCGGCGTGGAGCGCTCGCCAGGGCGCCTCTGCCAAGCCCGTCGGCTGCGGCGGTGGCGGAGGCGACGCGCCGCTTGGTCTGCACCCGGCGGCGTGGCCCCCGCTTCAGAAGCCGCAGCAGCACGCGCCGGCGCCGCCTGCCTTGGGCATGCGTGCCGTGTTCCTCACCCCGCCTGGCGCCAAGCGCGAGCGTAACGGCACTGGGGTGTTCCTCCCCAGGCCGGCCGGCGCCCCTGCGGAGCCGAAGAGGAAGACAGGTGCGTCGGTCGTAACAACACCTTGCCTGGTCGTTCCGTGCTCAAAACTGGGGATCCCTCAGCTGGTGGCGTTCTTGGTTTAGACATTCAAGTCACTTGGTGCTGTCTGTCCCCGTCGTGCAGGGTGTTCGACGGTTCTTGTCCCCGTTCGCGTCGTCCAGGCTCTCAACCTCAACCTTGAAGACCTCGGCGCCCAGCCTCGCTACCCTGGCGGCTTCGTTCTCGATCACGGTAAGCCATCTCGTCACTCGATTTGATTCTGTTCTGTGTTCAAACGGCAAGTAATCGCTAATGTTGAGCTCTGCCGTTTCAGATGCCTTGATTACTCGGAGCAACGCCATGCTCGCGAGCCAGAAGCGCTGCGCTGCCGCACCCGTCGCCGCCGCGCCGGCACTGTGCCACAGTTCTTGAGTTGTGTCGCCGGCTGGAGGAGAAGACGAAGGGGGGCACCAAGATTCCGACGACACCCTTCGTGTGGTCGTCACTCCAGTTAATCCTAATAATAATTAAAGAAACTAGTTCGAGTACCTTTTGTTAGGTAGTGTGTTAGCAGCAGAGTTAGGAAGGCAATAGTAGTGTTAGCATCAGTGTTAGGTCTGTTCATTTTGGATCCGGTGATATATTGGTTTTTTTGGTGTGGACGGAGAGCGGTGGAGATGGACGGACGAGCAGCGAAGAAGAAACCCATGTCGTCGTCCCAGTTTGGTGGTTGTGGTTCGGGGGGAAGAATAATAATAAAAGTGGTTTGAGAGAGGTGTTAGCTGCTGAAGAACAAGAAGCCTGCATTGCAAGAATGATGAGAATTGAGAAATGAAAGCATTGGATGCGAAGAAAATAAGAGGTCATTTCCCCATCCATCAATGGCTTGCTTTCTTTGGGTGCTACCAGCAGTCCAGCACAGACCCAGCTAAGGCCTCTCTTACCTCTTTTTTGCAACTTTTTTACTTGCAAAAGAAGCTTGCCGTGGGCTCCATGAATAAGGTTGTTTGCTTTGTTAGCAAAGGATTTTTTATTTGTGTTTCGCTTGTACCAGTGCTAGCAAGCAGTAGTAGTAGTAAAAGTGTCCCATGACTTTCGTTACAAGGGTCATTAGGAGTGAAGTGGTTAGTTGCTTAGCAGCTGCAGGTTGCAGTGAAAACAGCAGCAAAGTTGGGCTGATTATTATCTATATATATTTCTTGTGTACTTACTACCTGCCCCATGGCATTGTGGGACATTAATATATGGAATTTCATTGCTTAACCTGGTGGTGCATCATGCCTTAATCAAGTCTGTTTCTCGCCTTCTATTCTCCGTTGGTTGATGATTACGCATGTGAGGTGAGCAGAGCAGCGGTCGTTAGCTTGTCCGGGTGCCTAACCGCCGCAGAATCTGGCCGGGGTGGGTCATGGGATCTGCATCTCCCACCCTGCTGCCAATTTCTCTCTTCGCTGGATCCCGGAGAAGGACGCCTCTGGTTGGGCGCGCCGCGCCCACCCAAACCTGGCTCCAGCGCCGGGTTAGCTGGAGCCAGAGAACGGGTGGCTCCGGTCGTTGGCCCCATCCGATGGTGGAGAGCAGCGCGGAGCCGAGCTCTCCGCCGCCGCGCTTGTACGCATTCGGGTATCTGCCGACTCGGCGCCTGCGCCTGTTGTCGGTGTCGCTGTGGCGTGAGGTAAAACTTCAGTGTGGATGGTTTTACCCCTTGTTCTGCTGTGCATGCAGGCGATTGCTTGCATGCACCTTGGTCGCATTGGTGGCCCGGTCAAACCGTCAAAGCGGTCGCTTTTTTTTTTTTTTTATGTTCTCGCTTGGTGCACCGTCTTTTGTTTGGAGTTTTTACCGTGCGTCGCACATCCATCGGTCGCCGGGAAAGGCGTGTTTCCCAGAGAAAGCGGCTTGCCTCGGGTTCCCACCGATGGAGATGGAGAGCCCTCTCTTTCCCTTGCCTCGGGCCTTGTTACATGATCCTGTCCCTTTTTCCGCTAGGGTAAACCGCATGGTATCTGTCAGGACATAAGGGATCGTAAAAGGAGGAACTAATAACCATCAATACCGATTTATTCGAGCAACCAAGAATGCAACTACAGCTCCAACTGATCTCTAGGTGCGTAAGCTCCGCTCGCCTGGCCTCTGGGGGCGGGCTCCGCCTCGCTCGGCCTCTGAGGGCGGGTTACGCCTCACCTGACCTCTGGGGACGGGCTCCGCCTCGCCCGACACCGAGGCGCGGGTTACGCCTCGCCCGACCTCTGAGGGCTGGCTCCGCCTCATCCGGCCTCTGAGGGTGGGCTCCGCCTCGCCCGACCCTTGGGTTTTTGCTCCGCCTCGCCCGACACCGAGGCCGCGGGCTCCGCCCAATGTTTTCAGATCGGACGACTAATCGCGATTAATCGTGATTAGTCGTCCTTATCGTAACCAGGTGCTCGATAAGGGCTCTCGATTAGTTTAGACCGATTAGAAAACTTATCGTCCGATAAGTTGCGACTAATCACGATTAGTCGTCCGATCAGACTAGCCGGGCGACTAGTTCGGGGGAGGGAGAATTTGGCCCAGCTAAAGAATTCGGCCCACCTTTTAGTGACCCATTAGGGTAAGAAGAAGAGGAGTGAGTGACCTAGTGGGAGTTGTAGCCGCATTTCCAGCTCCTCCATGCTCTCTCTCTCTGGCCTGCTCTCTCTCTCTCTCTCTGCTCTCTCTCTCGCGGTGGTGGCTTTGCGCTCTGGATCTCTCCTGCGGCGTCTGCAGCTCCGTCCGCGCCTCTGCCGGGCATCCATGACTCGTCCGCGCCTCTGCTTGGCGTCCGCAGCCTCCGCCGCGCACCTCTCGCCGGCGTCCTGACTCCGCCTGCGCCTCTGCCCGGCGTCGCAGCTCCGTCAAGCCTCTCGGCGACGTCCGCAGCCTCGCGCCGCGCCTCCACCTCCGCTCGCTCCTGTCTCCTCCCCGCCGGGACCTAGTAGATCCGCCGCCGCCCGAGGCTCCTTCCTCAACGTCACGGAAGAGGCGGACACGGAGGCCTCAAGCATCCAGATGAGCCACCATGATCTGAGTAAGTGGCCAAATCAGCAAGCAGCGATTCTGGGTAAGTGGCCAAATCACCATGATAATGATTCATTGCAAACATGATTACATGCCAAACTGTGCTTGGTTGCTTGCCTCTAACATTTACCTATTTATTATGGCCATGTTTATATATATTTACATCATATATATAGTATATACATGGTCGATCAGGCCATCTAGGCACAAGGATGACTAAATGTCCGACTAGCCGATTAGACCGATTAGGACCGACTAATTGACCCTTATCGATGACTAATCGCGATTAGTCGTCTGATCGGTGGTCATACGACTAGCCTCGATAATACGATCTGAAAACATTGGCTCTGCCTCGCCCGACCTCTGAGGGCTGGCTCAGCCTCGCCCGGCCTCAGAGGGCGGGCTCTGTCTCGTCCGACCCTTGGGTTTGCGCTCCACCTCGCTCGGTCTCTTGGGGGGACTCCGCCTCGACCGACCCCGAGACCGGGGGATCCGTCTCGCCCGACGGAGACACATACCACCGCCAACCACTCAAGGTCCAAGCGAATGGGCCTGAGTCAAAGCTCTAACACCAGAAAGGTGACCGGCACGCCCCGATATAACCCGTGGCCGTGACGGGCCATACCTGGGGATTCACATCAGGAACAGCGTTGGGCGTACCGGTGCTGTTCTGCCTAACCCTCGTACGAGCATTGACAGGCGCATCAGTTCACCACGACGTCGGGCAGGACGGAGTGGAGCGCCACGACCGGGAGACGATGCCTGCGCATGGCGTCAGTGACGGACAGGGCCACGACGTGGAGCTGTCCCTGTTGACGTCTACAGAGTCAGCAGGACCCACGTGAAGGAAAGAAGGACCCGACGATCCTAGAGGACTTCTTCTCCTTTTCATTCTCCTCTTTTTTCTCCACTGTAACCCGTACTTTCTCTTAACCTATAAAAGGGAAAGCAGGGCGTCTCATGAAGGGGACTGGAACCCATCGAACCCCAAACCGATCAAAACACACAAGCACACAGCCGGGAAGCGACCGAGCTCTCGGCACCCGTTCGCTTCTTTCACCAGAGACTTGGGATCTGTCCCTCTCTCGACCGTTTGTAACTCCTAATACGAACTTTCAGTGCTAGTAACACGAGCAACAGCAATGAACTAGACGTAGGGATATTCTGCATGAACCAGTATAAACCTCGTGTCCTCTTAATACACTGTTCAAAGTAAACATGTAATATTAGAAATTTAATGGTCCATGACAACACGAAACACCGACGGTACCCCACCCATAATTTTAAACTCGCAGGAGTACCACGGATAGCTGCTTTTGAGAGGGCTCACTGCACTGCTGGGTGCTGGGGAAACTCTACTACTAGTCTGGATCGATTTTCACGTGCCATGCCACACCGCTTCGTTTCTTTCTTCTGTCCGGCGAGTGGTGGTTTGGGTGGCACGCACGACGGTGGTGTGGTGTGCTACTGCTAACTCTGGGCGGTGGCGCGGTTGTGGGCTGCGAAAGGCGCCCGTCTGCCGCTGAGCGATATATGCAGAGAGGGTCTGGGGTTGTGGCGTCGTGATCGCTGGAAAGGTGGGTTGGCTGCACGCACGCACCTGACCGTCCGAGCTGGTTGGGTTGCGTTGGGCAGGCAAACCCGCGTCGCGTCGCTCAAGTCACCATGTGGCCCGCACGTTGGGTCGTTCGTTCGTGCGTGCCGCTGGAGGGAAGGCTGGGGTGGTGGTGTGTTGGGTGAGCTGGGACGGAGGGCCACCACCGCCGCGGCGGGTCTCGGCTCGCTGTCATGCCCGGTGCATGTCGAGCAGCAGCGACGGTGGGTTGGCTGCGGCTCAACGTGCCCCAACTCCCGCCAGTTCCCAGCACTGATGTCCCTCGTCCTGGGCGTGGTCCACCCCCTGCGACTCTTTTTGTACGCCTTCCCGCCATCGAGTGCCGACCGGGGGTACTAGATATTTTTTGTGACGCCTACGGCAAGCGAGCAATCACCTGTTCGTATGGTCGTAAATGATCTTGGATTATAAATTAGAATAGTATTTTTCTCTCATACCAAATCAGCCAGCATTAATTCTGGCTTATAATCCACGGTCGTTTCAGCCGAAACGAAAGGCTTTGGTCCGGCCCGGTCGTGCCATTTTGACCGAACACGTATAACCTAGTGTATTCGCGCGTCACATAGGGCCCGGCAGGGGTTCCGAAGGGAATCGATACCATGAGCCTTTGGTCCGGCCCGGTTCAGTGTACTGCCTTTGCAGTATATTAGTAGAATACCAGTATATTGTTGGGTATTTTAGTAATGGATGACTATGTAGTAGTTTGATGACCTAACTGATGCGCATTATTTGCACCCGGCTAACGTCCCAGCCGGGACACGTATCCATTTCATGGGCCGTG